TTTTTTGTTGTAGTGAAATAGCTTAAAAAGCTATAGCTCCACCTTACGTAGAATTTAAGCAAAAAAAAAAAAAAACAAAAAAATGAAAAAACAAAAAAACAAAAAAAACAAAAAACAGAGAGAGAGAGAGAAAGAAAGAAAAGAAAAGTCTAAATTATAGGTAGAATAGAAAGCATGGACCTGAAATGTCGACATCGTAATTAAATCATAAGAGTGATTTCATATATGTAATACCGCAAAATGTTTTTGTGGTGGGTTTTGGTTCTACCTTATTCTTTCACATAGTAAATTATTCTTTTGCGTTTTTTTTTTCTTTTCCTTTGAAAAATACAAATTGTTCTTTTGCTTGGCAATATTTCAAATAGATTTTAATGTCGGTGTCCAGCGAAAATGCAAAATAATAATAGACACAATTCTTGATATGATAAATTTAAGTTGTTAATTATTAGAGGTTTTTTTTATAATAGACACAAGAATGAGTGAATCTCCTATTCGAAGTGTTCTTAGTTCAGGTTAGCCAGGGATATAGAGCTCATTGGTTTCTGGAGATCAGCAACCAGTACTAATTGAGGCCCCTAAACTTTACACTAATTCCCACTTTATCCCGTATTTTTAATAACTCTTATAGTACTTCACCAATCTAAGTTTTAAATTATTCTCACTAATTCCTTAGTTATAATATTTGCCGAAAAGAAACAGTACGAATAGAATAATTACAATGAGAAAGTTGACTTTATGTCGTTGAAATTGAAGAATTTCAACTCCATGGAATTTGAACCCCCCAAAGCTTCGAGGACAGTGAAAAATGACGATAGAGACTAGATCCTCCTCCTCCTTCTCCTTCTTCTTCTTGGGTTAAAATTTGTTTTATCTTCATTAAATAACAATTGAGGGTTTTTTATAAAGTGATTACTTGTTAATCTATCTTTAACCTACTTTTTAGGTGTATATTCCATTTGTTTTTAGTGAAAATCCAAACGAATGAGGTTAAATGAGACTAATTCAAATCTTAAAATAGTAAAGTAAGCTTAGTTCTCGAAGATCAGAGAGCAAATAAACTAAACAATTATTTGGTCACTACCAAACAAATAATAAAATGTAGAATTTATTTAATAATTTATTAAATTAAAGCTTTGTTTTTTATTTATTTATTTGATTGAATTTTGATTCAAAGGAAAGAAAGGATATAGTTATATAGATATAATTCGTGTCATAATTCATGAATTAATGTATATATACTTCTTTGTCATTCATGTATATATAATTCCTTTTCGTAAGTTAAAAGGATGACTTATTTATTTTTTTACAAGTTATCAGGAATATTTGATTGAAGAATTAAGTTATTACTAAAAAAAATATTTAAATGATTATTAAAATTATGAAATAAAGGATGAGATCAATTCAGAACTATATTATTTTTATATTTTTAATAATTATATATGTAATTATTAAAGCAAAACATACAGAATTATATTGGTCTAATTTGGGATCGAATAATAAATTTTGACCTTATCCATCTTATAAATATATTAAGATAAAAAATTGGTGTTAAGCATGGGGTACAAATGAGAACAACCAGTGACAAGGGAAGATAGAGACACATCCCCATGCACATTATACATACACATTTATATAGGACAAATTACACATTTACCTTTCAAACTATATGCCGTATTACAAAATACCTCTTGAACTTTAATTTGTAACATTTATTCCCTCTTTAAAAATATTGTAAACTTTCCCCTACTATTAAAATTTTAACTAAAAAAGACATGTGACACTTATCTACAATAAGAGTTGTGAAATTAAAAATGCAATTATAAAATTGCCCATATAATTACTTTAATGTGTAATTATTTAATATTAAAAAAATACAAAAATCTCTCTCGCTTCCTTTCTCCACCGTAAAATCCACATTTAATTATTCTCTCATGGAGCTTCCCACCCCAACCCACATCGCCAAAATGAGAAAAGGCTCACAAAACATTAGGAAATATAAAACCAATAATGTGGATTCCCTGGTACCACCAAAATATTTTTTGGTACAATTTGTTGGCCTCTTCAAAGAAGTGGTTCCACGCGTGGGACTCGACGAGAACACCACACATGAAGGAATCTGGATTGGGAAAGCATTCGAATAATAGTGTGGAGGAATGGAGAGAACCCATTTGACCTAGGATTCAATAATGAGTTTGATTGAATTTGAAGCAAGTGGGTCTTGAGAGAGAATGTCGAGAAGGAAAGAGGAGAGAGAGAGATTGTCGAGAGAAGAGAGGGAGAAGCGAGATAGATACTTGAGTGTTTTTAGGGCTTGTTCTTTTGCAAGTGTTTTTGAGTTAAATTTTTGAGTTGATTTTGAGTTGAATTTGAGTTATAACTTGAGTTTAAGTTGTAACTTGAGTTTACGTTTGGTTGTGTATAACTTGAGTTATGGTTTGAGTTAAGAATTTTTTGAGTTTGTGTTTGTTTGTGATAAAACTTGAGTTGTAAATAGTGAATATCCTTTTTTTTCTCCTACATTTTTATTCAATTCTTTTACAATTTTTTTTATTTTCCCGCCCGCCTTTATTATGTTTTATTGTAATAAATTACTTGTAATTACAAAAATAAAAAAATAATAAAAATAACAAGTACAAGCTCAGTTTTCATTTTAATTAAGTTCAAAAAGACAGCAAAAATACATATTTAAATTTAAAAAGACAACAATGAACGATGGCATCAGCGTGCACGACGGTGCCAGTACACTGCCCACATTGTATGCGCCCTTGCATCCCTTAAAGCATTCATGTCAACTTCTGCATTAGACTCCAATGGTTGACCCTCATGGTTAGTATTGTCGTTAATGTCCTCATCAACATTCGGTGGATCAATGTCTGCAACCGGAACGCCATCTTGTGAGTATTGGTCCAATAGCCTGTCCCCATTACGGTACATGTGGATAAAATTATGTATTATAGCACACGCTACTGGAATCATAACTTGTTTGGTCATGGGGTAACGATTAATGGTTCTCAAAATACAAAATCTAGCCTTATGGTTCTCAAAATACGAAATCTAGCCTTCCACACACCAAATGTTCTTTCAATGACATTACGCAGCGAAGAGTGGGTGTAGTTGAAAAGCTCACGTTCACTGTGGAATCCTCTTTCACGGCGAGCCCTATACTCTTGCAAGTGGTACGTTGTCCCCCGATATGGTGCCATGAAGCATCCGTTGTTAGCGTACCCTGAGTCGACGAGGTAAAATTTTCCTACACTTGTTCGTACATTAATTAATAAATAAGCGTACGGATGAAGTATTTGAAAATGTCAGTGTACATATAAGAAATCATTGTAGGCTGACCTGGTGGCGGTGTCGGGAATCTTTTGCGTGCGGATTCTAAAGCAGCAGCTAATACTCGCGCATCGTGTGCGGAACCCTCCCATCCAGATAACATGTACGTAAATTTCATATCAAAAGTACACACGGCAAGCACATTAAGTGAAAAAAAATCCCTTCTTATTTCTGTAAAGTTCAGCAGTTTCACGAGGGGGAACACATGGGATGTGAGTACCGTCAAGTGCTCCAACACAATCCTTCATAGTTTACAAGTGTTATGTTGGTTATATTGAAGTCGTAATAATTATTATAAACCAGTAAATAATATACATTACCGAACATACATCGAACCACGGCGAGTATTTGTTTCCACTTGCAATGATGTGCGGGTCAACGGTTTGGAAATCTGGATGTAAAATGAAGTCCTGCTTCAGTTTGCATACCGCCACAAGAACTTTGGTGAAGTACTCAAACACCGTCGATCCATATCGTTGCCAAGTGTCTTGTGCCTCCCTGTTAGTTTGGTTCTGACATAATATAGTTAGGAATATAAATAATTGCTCATCAACATTTAGGTGGACAGTTGGTTGCAGTAAGCCCCTTTCCTCAAGGATAAAACTTAGTCGCAAGAACGCATCACTAGTCATACGGACTTTGTCATACATCACTGTTGGACTACGTTCCAAATAATACTGCACCCTAAGTGCGCCTCCCCAACCAGAAGTGTGCCTTCGGCGAGAAGGTTCTCTGTATATAAATCCAACACATAGCGCAGTCGCCGCAGCGACAACTTCCAAATAAAAATTATCATCACTGTCATAGTCTGATTCATTAGAACCCAACGGATTAGAATTCCCGCCTATATCCATCCCTGTCAAATTTTCAGAATAATGAAGCATAAAGTTATAAAAATGCAAATCATATGTGTAAAGTTCAAAAGTGCATATAAAACATACTCTTGCATAAATAAGCTCGCATTAAGTAACAAATCCTCAACCAAATGTGCCGCAATCTAATAAGAATTACTCAATTAGTACTAAAAATGAAAAATAATAAAGGAATTATAACCATAAAAATAACATGTTCAATGAAGTCTCTATATGTTCGTAACAAGTAAAACGAATCGAATAACAGCATCACAGTTGCGAAGAACCATCGCCTCCACGTGGCACTGTGTAGTTGGGTCTCGAGAACGGTGGCATGAATGGTTGAAATGGGGAAGTGGGCTGGCCGAATGTGTTGCCGTGGGCAGGGTTTGCTTGCGTGTTCAGCTGAAAGTACGAGGTCGAAGGCATTTGTTGTGGCGGCTGAGGAGCAACGTGTTGTCTGGTACACTGCTCCATAGTCTGCTGAATCCACACAAGCCGATGGTGTTCTGGCATATGCAGGAATGGACGCTGCCACCTAGGCTCCATAGTCATGAAGTTGAACATGAAGAGATACTGTTCTTGGGAGATGTCCAACGTTGCCAATAAATCCATGCATTGATCCTGAATGTTTTCAACTTGAGCCGACATGTTCACAGATGCACTTACACCGCGCGACCGACTGCTTGTTTCTATCGAATTGACGAGGCGATCCACGGCACGCTCCATATAGCTAGGCGACGCTCTACGAGAGCTACGACTTGAACGTCGACATACTACTCGCGGTGGTGAGTGTGCATGTTGTCCGCGGCTTTCTCAATGCATGCCATGTCTTCTATCTGTAGGAAGAACATCGTCACCGTCATTGAAACTAGTTGTTCCTCGCTCAGTTGGGCTGCCGGACCTATGTTGTGGTGGAGCATCATCTTGACCATACTCAAAGGCCCCATTTGCCCGAGTATTGGCAAACGCGCAATAATATAGATCGTAATCCAACAAGGGCTTCCTCCTCGCCCTTTCAACCTCGGGATGGATCTGTAAATGGAGCAACAAATATTAATACAACTAGTGTCACATTTCTTTCAATGACATATACTATTAGAAACTTACACTGATAAATTGTTGCCAATACTCGTCAGTGCAAGTGGGTTTCTTTTGAATCGGATCCCATCCAAGTCCGGTGGCAGTGCGAAGTAGAAACTCAGCATTAAATGTTTTCTTCAGTCTACTGGCCTTTTGTTTGACCTTGTCCCAAGTTAGGGGAACGCTAAAATGCTCACTTAGCTCCGCCGCCCATTGTGTGTATTTATCTCGGTGAGGGGTGGTACCAACAGAGTTCAATAAATTGAACTCACCTAGACGTTTAAGCAGTTCTTCCTCAGCTTCCGGGCTCCAGTTTACATCTCTATCTCTCCTTCTTGCCATCTATGTATTGACAATACCATAAT